GTGAAAGGAGAAGCAAAGGAGATTAGATGTCTTGGTTATTGAGGAAAAAGAGCACAGCCTAACTCAGCCCTTTCCCTTACTAGAGATTAGAGGTTTGTTTTCTGGAAAAACTGACCTAAGAAGTCATGGTCCCAGACATAAGAATGGGCAGCATAGACTGAATGCAGGGGAGTAAAATGTTTATACCTTGAAGATTCTCATCTTACCTCCCTGACCTATTCCCAGAATTCAGATAGCCTGCGCCAGAAAGGTTACTGGAGGAGTTTTCCTCTTAAAAACTATTAGAAGATATACTGAGAGAGAGAGAGAGGATAGATAGATGATAGAGGGATAGATAGATAGATAGATAAATAGGATAGATGATAGATAGGATAGACAGATAGATAGATGATGGATCAATACATAAAAGAAGTCAAATATAAGTAGTCAGGAAATCAGAGAACTTAACATAGGCAAAAGGGCAACAATTGTGCAGCAGGCCAAGAAACAACCAGTCCAGACTGAAAATGGAAGCAGAGGGCTGAACTAGGGAGGCCTCCAGAGAAAAACATGAAACTGCTGTATTTAAGTGTTTGGAAAAATTACTGATAGGTGTTTAGCAAGTGTAATGGTGCATTTGGGAAAAAAATAGATACACAGGAAACTAAGCAGATGAAAAATTACGACAATTATTCTTTTGAAGGGAAAAATGTGGTAAGAGGAAGAGAGCATAATCCTAGTAGACTACTTGGCTCAGCAGATAGTCTTATTTATTATTTATTTATTTATTTATTTTTATTTTGAGACAGGGTCTCACTTTGTGACCCAGGTTGGAGTGCAGTGGTACCATCTCTTACTGCAACCTCTGCCACCCAGGCTCAAGTGATCCTCCTACCTCAGCCTCCTGAGGAGCTGGGATAACAGGCACGCACCACAATGGCCAGCTAATTTTTTGTATTTTTGAGGCTGGAGTCTAGGTTGCGCCATGTCATCCAAGCTGATCTCAAACTCCTGAGCTGAGGTCATCTACCTGCCTCAGCCTCCCAAAGTGCTGGGATTACGGGTGTGAGCTACCATGCCCAGCCAGATAACCATATTTAAATTTGCACTGTAAAACACACAAATATATAAATGTTGGCTGCTGATTTATCAAAAAGTTGAGGATGTAATCATATTGGGAGAATGAGAAAAAGGAAGGAGAAGGGATAAGTGAGAAACCAGCAAAACAATAATGGGAAGAAAAAAAGAGATCTAAAATCTAGAAATAAAAAGTCACAATATAAACACCTTAGTTAGAAACATGAAGATAAATGCCAGAAGAAACAGCTAAGAGTTGGAGGTGATTTTCTCCGGGGGAAAAAACTGAGGGCTCAGGGAAGTGGTAAGCTACATCTCTTTTCTTTGATTTTTAGCTCTGGCTAATATTTGAACAATGTATATGAATTTGTCTATTAAAAACAAAAACTGACTAATGATAAATGGGAAGTGTGAGACTGAAGGCAGGAAATGTTGAGTGTTCTGTCAGTAGCTAACCTGGGCATAGAAGGAGACCAGGCAGTAGCTATAGAGGACTGCACAGATGAACAAGGAATTTTGCTAAAATGAGAGAGGTCAAAGTATATTTATACCCTTTGCGGAAATAGCAAGTGAAGAGAAGTGGAAAGACCAGAGAAAAAAGAAATAACCAACGACGAGACCCTGGAGGAGACAGAAAAAAAAAAAACAAAAAACAAAAAACAAACAAACAAACAAAAAACATGATCTAGGTTGGGGAAATTCTGGAATAATATCTTCCTATTTCCTGGAAATCCTGTCTATGACCATCTCCTCATTGAGTAATGAGTAACTCGTTCTCTCTCTCTGCCCTCTAGCCTTCAATATAAATGTGCTCTTCATATCTATAACGCTGTGTTTTTCCCAACAAGAAAAGTCTCACTCTTTTTCACCAGTATTCTGAATCTGGGGAATGAGAAATTCAACTATTTTACATTTTATATTCTTAGACTTGTTTTCATGTGTCTGAAATTATACTCTTCCCATACTACACATGAAAGCTATTTTTCACTTCTTTCTTGAAGACATTCAAGTAAGAGCTCTGGGTACACCCTTGATGAATACCCTAAAATCTCTCTCGAGAGCTCGATTGCCGCTCATCAACCAGTCCTCACTGGAAATACAATTAAAACACCAGTAGAAACTGAATAACTTTTAAGGAGATGACTAGATATATAGCTCATATGTTAAAAAAAAAAACGATAAACACTCTTGAGGCTGTGTCCCATACTGAAACATCTCTGGAATCATGCATGTCAGGTGGTCACCCACCATAGTGTGCTGAAATAGTCCACACATTACAATTATTCTCAGACAGTGAAGACCAGGGTCTCCTCTGTAGCTTTGTAGATCATGTCCTGTACATCTCTGGAGGGCACCATCACACTGAAATCTATGGAAATGGCACACCCTTCCACCCCCAGTCACTCACCTTCCTGAGATTTCAGGGTGGGGCCTGAGCAGCAGCTGCACACATCAGCCAAGGTGAGACCCCTTTTATTTTACTATGCAGTACGTTTCAGGACAGAGAAAATATTGCAAACTTTTAGGCCCATTCACCCCTACAGAAGCACATTAAATTGCATCTTAAAAGTACTGTCTTCACAAATGGAAGTTGGAGTTGTGGTATATTTAGTCCTCCACCTCCTATCCCCAGTGGATTTTATTTCTAATATGTGGCTTAAAGCAAAGCTATCCAATAAATACAGAGTGGCTTTAAAATTACAAAGAAAAACTGCCATGGTAGTTGTCCTTTATCATTTCTGAAAAGCAAATCTGTGTTGTTCTGCCAAGTTTTTGTAGCAGTTGTACTTTCTGGGTGGCTCTATTCCAAGATCTAGATGTGTAAACGTCCTGTACATGCACTGTTAAGCCTTCAGAGCACTCTCCTGTAGATAGCGTTTCCAGGAAGAAACACCATAAGCAAGATATGAGAAAGTAAAAGCAAAAACAGCAGCAAGTGGCAATAAGATTATGGTAAAAGTCACTGAAGAATGGCAGGTGGAGTAAAAAGGAATGCAGTGTTTTGTTCTTCTGACACCCTCATTTGCTCAAATACAATATGCTATGGTACAGTAACACTAAATACTTCACAAATGTCAGGTACACATTAGTAAAAACAGTGAATGTCTTTTTTGAAAGGGTTGAATGTTCAGTTTATGAAAAAGGAAAAATCGCCTTTTAAAAAAATACAAGTTGGTATTCCAAATGACAAGCTCTCTTTTTCAAATTTATCTAAAATCATAAAGTGCTTTTTCTCAGTCTCTCTCCTTTGACCTTGAAATCTCATTACTATGGCAGGTTTTTAACATGGCTCCTCAACGTTTTTTTTTCCTTTTTCATTTTTTGAGACAGAGTCTTACTCTATTGCCCAGGCTGGAGTGCAGTAGTGTGATCTTGGGCCACTGAAACCTCTGCCTCCTGCGTTCAAGCAATTCTTCGGCTCAGCCTCCTGAGTAGTGTTATCCGTATAATTTTGGAACACTCACAATTCAAAGATGGAAAAATAAAAATCTATGACGTTTTGCTATTGTATTTTTGTAAAGTTCGCTCAGTTGGCTAAAAGATGTCAGCAAAGGTGCGGCCTATATGAGATCTTGTGTGCTAAGCTGTGGGTTACTAGCCTTGAACTCATTTGTGGTTATGTAGGGCTATGAAGCACAAGGCCCACTTTAACATGGTTAATCTCACAAATACACCTGGCATTTTGCATTCACACTCTGCTTCATGCTTATTAAAACATGCCTAAAAATGAAAGAAACTGATTCAAACAAGAGTAAAACTGACAGAAATAATCCACTTCTCCACACCACACACACAAAAACACACACACACATACACACCCAAATCATGAACTGGTTTTACGCTTGCAAGTCTATACTTAATTAAGAAAAATATTTGAATTCAATTAAGATATGCATGATGTCATTTTTTCCCTTGGCATTAATGTATCAGAACTTACTTTCTGCTATTTTCTATTCATCACAATCTCTGTTGAGCTATAAAAGGCCATTTGGCAGCTCTTTTCAAACTATTCCACAATTTAAATCAATTGCACACTTGAATAGAGCATGAGTCTGACATTAGTGATTCTAAAATTACTGTCTAAGAAATTCTGAGAATCTTATGGAGGGGTTAAAACTTCTACAGTACACACAGACACACAGAAATAAGTAAAACTCTGTTCTTAGGATTCCATATTTCATTTCCATTTTATTACACATTCATATTATTTCCTGAAATCATCTTAGAAGCTTTTGTTTTTGCAAAATTTTAGAGGTCCAGGCCCTGTGATAGCTATGCGATGTTTTTTTTTCCAGCACATAAAGCAAATTCATGATGTGATAGAGGCAAATGACAATTGTTAAAGTATATCTTACTTCAAAATAGAATTTTTTTTAAATAAAAAATTGTTATGGAACAAGGTACACTAAATTTGGCTTGCAATTAGGAAATATGGGAGCCAGGCTTAGAGAGCATGTGATTGAGTCCCCACATCTAATTGATGAGGAAACAGGCTCAGATGGGTCAGTCTATTGATAGGTCCACTTCCTAGAAGGAAAGCTGGAACTAGAAAGCAGGCCCTGCCTGAGGCCCTGGCTTCTACACAGCAAGCAACAGTTTTGCTAATTAATTGTGTTCCCCAGCATCAAAACAAATGCCCAAAATAGGAAAGACACATGGTTATTAGTTGGTTATTTTATAAACACAATCTTTAAAACTTAAATTAGTACATATAAAGAATTGGCACAAACAGATGAAGGTTCACTTTCACGGCAGCAATAGCATCTGCACAACATACCCCCTTAGCCACTGCCCTCAGCCCTTCCCCCCTCCGAGAGAGGTGGCGCTGCTGGCTGCAGATTTCTTCAGCTCTATTTTCATAGACTGAGTCTCAGCTCGAGGCTCGAATTTGGTCAGATTTCCTGCTCCTGGGGCTGCCACTACTGGCTTTCCTGCTTTCATACCTTTTGACATAGGAATGCGGGTGGGTGTAGGCCGCTGGGATGACCCGTCTTGTCCTGACTGTAAGAGAGAAAATACATAGATACAAGGGAGATGTTCGTGAGTTTCCTCTGGATATGCCATCAATCTGAATATTAGCGGGACTCCTGCCACACAGGAACACCCACAGATGACCTTTCCCAGATAAAATAATTGTGAGAAACTTGGAGTTGGTATCTAATCCACTCTGATTATCTCCCCTTCCCTTCTCTTAAAACAACTTTGCTTGAAACTTCTTCTCTTCTGAGCACTAACTTACTTCCTCTGCCCTTACTGAAGATGGCCTTAACTCCAGTTTCACAGAGGAAATAAATATAGACCACCAGGCAACAACTCAGGCAACTTTACTCCTACTGCTCCCAGATTACCTCTACATTCCCTCCTTTCTTCCACTTCAGATGAAGCCACTCTCTCTTCACCTCCTAAAGACCTCAGGTTTTGGCATGTTATTGTCACTGCTGACCACATTCTCCTTTTTAAAGTGCTCTCTTGCTGTGATTTCTTAGGACTGGCTCAATTCACCTCTCATATCTGATGACCCGTTTTCAGTCTCTTGCTGGCTCCTTGTTCTCTACTCTGCCTGCCTTCTAAATGTGAGTGTCACCATGTTCCATTCTCAGCCTCCTTTTAATGTTTAGCATTCACCCTAGGAATCGCCTTAGTTATTACCCCATGTGTTCAAACCCTGGGACCCCTAGGCTTCAATGCTCTCTAGAAATGCAAATCCTTATTCACAACTACTCACTGGACATTTCCAGTGTTCCCCAGACATCTCAAATATAACATGCCCCAAACATTACTTTTCCTCTTCTCTCTCCTAAACAGCTAGTCCTCATAAAGTTTCTCATTCTCCCAGACAGCCAAATCAGAAAACCACGAGCCACCCTCTCTACTCAATTTCTCATGAAATCATTTCGATTCTGTCTTCACTATATCTCTGTCCTCATTTTCACTACCATAGTTCAAGCCTGCCCCATCATTAGTATAGAGAATTGCAACAGCATCCCCATCCCTTCCAAGTTATCTTTTAAACTGTTTTCCACACACCTTTCTAAAACATAAGCAATATGTTTTTCTCAAGATCATTACCCTTTCAGTGGCTCCTTTTATCTATTCTATAAGTATCAATTTCATAATAAGACATATGCCTCCCTTTAATATCCAACCTGAGTTTGCTTGCCTATTTTCTGCTCTTGCATTTTTTGCTCCATGTGCAACTGGTAGCAGCACAATGGGACTGCTCACCATTCCCCAGGCATGCCAGGCTCCTTCATACTGTCGTGCCTTTGCACGTGCTGTTCTGTTTACGTACTCCTTCCCTTTTCCTTCTTGAAAATCCCTCTTTATCTGTGGAACCTCCACCTCTGCGAAGCTTTCTCATTGGCTCCTTTGTACATACCTCTTTTATAGAACCACTAAGTTGGTTAAAATCTTGTCTATCCCACTAAGTCAAGAACATCTACAGTCCTCTTGGCATGCCAGCACCTGACCCATGACTAAAGTGTAGCTGACACTCAACAAATATTGAATGAATAAATGTACAAATGAACCAGCCTCACTGTTTAAATTCTAAGAGAAGTGTTCCAAACCTTTTGTTGTCCTTGATTTTATGAGATCTGATATACTTAAAATAGGTGGACCATTCAGAACTTAGAAGTCTTAGACAGTTGTTTTAACATGTTACTCGTGTGTGAGGTTCAATCAGCAGTCAAAAATGTTAATACAGAGGGTAGGGCTATCTTGATCTGACTCTTAAAAATGGTAAGAAAATGTTATGGTACAAAATATGCTCTAAGTTACAATGATTTACACCTCCAATATCTTTTTATAAAATGCAGCAGAAAGAAGCAAGACCCTACACAACCAAGCTGTGCTCTATATTACCTAAAAAGCAGTACTGAATTACCTGAGAACAGTAAACAATTCCGAATGCCATTTGGCTCACGAGGAGTCAGTAAGTAAAAGCTTTACTGGCAAAGCAATTAGTAATTCACACTTTGAAGCCTGCCTCAGGTCTATGTTTGTGCATAGAAAATTAAAGAAAATCATATTAAAAATAAAGGGAAAAAACCCACAGTATCTATATTTAAATTATGAGCTTCCCGTCTTTCTTAAAAGATTTTATGTTGTAGAATTTGTTCAGAGTCTAGAAATCATGATTTCTAGTCTATTAGCTTACGTTAGCATCTAAACAGTACAAGCTCTTCTGTAATTACATTGACCAATTTGCCACCAACAAATGAAGACAATCACTGGAAGTATTTTGAAAGGTAGAATTTATTATGTATGTATGTATGTACCTTTTTGAGACAGGGCCTCACTCTGTAACCCTGACTGGAGTGCAGCAGTGTGGTACTGGCTCACTGCAACTTCCACCTCCTGGGTTCAAGCGATTCTTCTGCCTCAGCCTCCCAAGCAGCTAGGATTACAGGTATGCATCTCCATGCCCAGCTAATTTGTGTGTGTGTGTGTGTGTGTGTGTGCATTTTTAGTAGAGATGAGGTTTTATCCTGTACACCAGGCTGGTAGAATTTAAGTTCTCATTTTTGGGCTTTGGGCATGCTTTTCAGTAATCATTCATTTAGCCTTCCAGCCAGTAATTTTTTTTTTTTTTTTAAGACAAAGTCTCGCTCTGTTATCCAGGCTGGAGTGCAATGGCATGATCTCAACTTACTGCAACCTCTGCCTCCTGGGCTCAAGCGATTCTCCTATCTCAGCCTCCCAAGTAGCTGGGATTACAGGCATTCGCCACCAAACCAGGCTAATTTTTGTATTTTTTAGTAGAGATGGGGTTTCACCTTGTTGGCCAGGTCTTGAACTCTTAACCTCAGGTAATTCATTCACCTCGGCTTCCTACGTGCTGGGATTACAGGCATGAGCCAGTGTGCCCGGCCCCAGCTAATTATTAAATAAATATTTATGAAGAACTTGCTCTCTGCAAGATAGGATTAAATAAAATACTGTTTTTAGACATGTAAACTCACTTCTTTTTTACTTTTAAAAAAGTTTTTGATATTAAAATCTTCTCATCTTGTTTTAGGATAAAATATGACTGTAGCCATACATAACCACATATAGAATATTTTCGTTTATAGAAACATAATCTAGGAACAATTTTAATTCTTCTTGCATATAGAGCATTTCCCCCCAACTCCAAAAGTACCTTAAACATTAAAATGAAATTTTAAACCTTCTGATTACTATAGGCTACCATTTCAAAGAGGCCACTTTTGCAAGTATTTTATAGCAATCTCCATAACGTACATGAATAGGTGAAGTTTTCCCTCAAAGTTAGCCCAATTTATCAAACTACTAGGCCACTTCTTACATTCAGTTCTCAGTGTGGATGGTCCTCTGGTAAGCATCGGTTGGTGGATTCCAGCAGCATGAGAGGCATGTGGCTACGTTTTACTGCGGTGTTGGGGTAGTCCCACTACTCACGTCTCCCTCTCTCCACGGGCCTCCCCTTTGGAGCCTCTTGTACTCACCACTGACTGGGTTCCTCGAGCAGATGACGTTGTGACCGGTGTTATGGTGATAGTGCTCGTCACTTTGCTCGCACCAGGCCGAGAGGAGAGATGGTTCCTGGGAGAGCGAAGGACAGTGCCGGTGGAAACCTCTTTTTCAGCTGTCACGTTTACTGGTCGGACAGTAATAACTGGACTGACTCCTTCTCCTGAAGTGCCAGGAGACCGTTTAAACTGAGATCCTAAGTGAATGTGAATTTTATTGTCCTCTGTGGTTATGATGTTGGCATTGGAGTTGTATTTCCGTACTGGAGTTGGAACAGTCTGTTTTTCTGGGGTGACTTTGAGGATAGTCCGTCCCATGGGCATTTCCTGGGATTCGGGAGAAACTGCAATCTCAGCTGGCGCTGCTGAAGTAGACACTGTCATTATCTGAATAGGGGATGTGGGCCTGTCCGCAAACACGCCTCTTCCGTTTTCTGGGGTCTTCTCTCTGGAAAATGTAGTAATTGTGACTGGGGACATGGCTCGTTCTGGGCCAAGAGTAGTATCTCCACTTTTTTGTTTTTGAGACATCACATTTGGTGATGGAATAATGGTTATTCTTGGTTTCTGATTCCCTAAGGTAGGAATGACGGTGGTACTAGAAAAAAATTCTTCAGATGTCGGGCTTGTTATCTCCAAAGTCGCGGTACTGTTCTCGTGGTCTGGTGTCACTCGAATATGCAGAGGCTGGCCCTGCTTTGGTGAAAGGACTACCTCTCCTGGGTGCCCTGGACTGGAATTTGTTCGGGTCCCTTTGTCTTGAGTGATTGAGGGGCCATTTTCCCTCTTTCTCATCCATGGAATCCAAGACTTTCTCATAGTGAGCTCATTTGCTGCTGGAGGATACCTGTCTAGAACAGAGGATCGTTCCATAGGTTTTTTCAATCCCACCTGCCGAAGATTGCTCATGATATGATTTTCTTCCTGGAAGGATTTCCGTATGAATACAGCTGGCGTTTCTTCCTCTGTTGCTTCACTGCTGACTGCATCAGTCTGGACTCCAGTTGATGTCACAGGAACATCCACCATTCTTCTTCCATTCACACTGGGCCTAAGAGCTCTGCTGTAGCGCTTGGAAAGCTCTAACTCTTTGGTCAGATTGAGGACCTCCTGCCCCATGTTTTTGTTCTTATTTTCTTCTTCCATAAATCTTTGTTGAAGTACAGAATAATCTACCTGGAGCTGAGAAAGCTGATCTTCTTTGTTCATTAATTCGTGAATCTTCTCTTTAAGAGCTTGTACTTCAGCTTTTAAGTCTCGGCTTTTAGCTTCTTCCAGCCGAAATCTGTGTCTCAGTTCAGCTTCCTGGCTCACAACCTCACCTTTCTCTATTGCTTTATTCTTGGCAATTTGGTGCTTGATCTCCTCTAGTTGTTGAGAGAGGAAGTTGGCCTTATCCTGCTCAGTTCTAAATTTTTGTTCCAGCTGATCATACTCATCTTCTGTCTTCATCAAATCCCCTTCGACCACCTCCAATTGTTGGAGACGTTTCTTCAGTCTCTCAATTTCAAGTGTTAGTTCCTTAATCTTATTATCTTCTGGGCAGGTGAGCTCAGACCCTTTTCGTGACCTTCCTCTTGTTATTTCTCTTTCCACTTCCTCTATACCATCAAGTCTCTTCTTTAGTAAGTCAACACTACAGCTTAATTCAGAGGATTTTTCTTCTTCACTTTTCAATTTGCCTATCAACTCATCTCTTTCTCTTGTCAAGTTGCATACTTTTTCCTCCATTTCAGATTTTAGTTTTAAAAGCTTCTTACTTTCTTCAATTAGTTTTTCAGTTACATCCATAACTTTTCCTTGTTCCACCTTAAAATTTTTATTGAGTCCATCCACTTTTCTCTCTTCTTGCTTTATTTTTTCCATCATATTTTTCCTTTCATCAACCAGCATCACAGTAAATGACTTCAACTTTGTAAGATCATCTTTTAGGCTTAATTCAGCCTTTTCCAATCTACTTTCAGAACATTCCAATTCTTTAACTCGACTCTTGACCACCTCCAATTCATTTAGCAGGTCTTTGGTTAAGTTCTTTTCTTTCTCCAGATTTAAATGTAGCTGGGTGCACTCAGATTTACTCTTGCTAAATGCTTCTTCCAATTTCTCCAGTTCAGACATTCTCTTCTGTAGCTTCTCAACTTCAAGTTTGAGCTCCTTACTGTGGTGTTCTTCCTCTTGCAGCTTCTTCCTCAGTTCCCTACACTGGGATTCAGTTTTAGTTATCTCCTCATCTTTACCTTCCATCTCAAGCACACGCTTTCGAAGATTTTCCACTTCTGCCATGAGGCTAGAGTTTCCGCATTCACCTTTGGCAATTTTATCTCTTAATTCCTGAAGTTCTTCCTCTGCCTTCTGTAGACTTTTGTTGGTCTCTTCCAGCTCCTCGATTCTTTGGGTTAAGCCAACCAGCTTGAGCCTAAGTTGCCTATTGTGAGACTCTTGATTAGCCAGTTTAGCGTTCATCTCTTCATGTTCTTGAGAAAACCTGGAAGCCTTGTGTTCAAAGTCCACTTCTAACTTGAGCAGTTTCTGTCTGTCTTCTTTGGATTTAGAAGTAATGGCTTTGAGTTTTTCTTCTTCTTCCCTCAGCTTCTGAGTAAGATCCTGTACTTTCTGGCTTTGCAGGCCAAGTTGCTCAATATGCATTTGTCTTTCATCCACCAACATGAGTGCAAAGGACTTGAGTTTGACAAGCTCATCTCTTAGTTTATTGAGCCGTTTAGCATTTTCCTTTTCTTTGCGGGCTTGGTAAGCCTTTTCTTGTTCAAGGAGCTTTTTTAGCCTAGAAAACAAAATATAACTAGATGTTAAAAGAGTAATCTGCAGATTTAAGTATTGATATTAAATAAAAACAACATGCTACTACAATAAATCCTTTATCAATTGCTATATCAATGTTTAAAAAAATAGCCATTAATGAAACTAACAGGAAGTCAAAATATTAGTTACCTTTAGAGGTAGTGGCTAGAAGGGGACATGAAGAGGGCTTTGAGTGAACTAGTTTCTCTTTTATAATTTGTGTGCTTGCTCTACAGGATTGTTTAGCTTACCTTATGAAATTTTAGTGAGCTGAACACTTCTGAGTATCTTTCTGCATGTGTATTATACTTTAATACAGTAGCCATTAAGTAAAACTTGGGTTGTATAATGGCTATTTATATAATTCATATAGTAATTATTATATAATAATGAATATTTTATAATATATACTTTATATTATACATATAAAATTTATATAAAATATATATTATATGGTCATTATTTATAATTACATTATATTAATGACTATATTACATATAGTCATTATAATGACTATTTATAATGACTAATATAATATTTTTTATATTTATCTTCTGTATCGTTGGTGCTAGTATTTGCTTCACTCTCAGAGTGACCCTATGAGATATATATTGCTACTATCATCACCATGAGGAAAATGAGATACAGGGAAATTATGTAACCTGCCCCAGATTCCAGAGTCAGTAAGCGGCAATGCTGGATTTCAAACTCAGCCAGAAAGCCTCCAAAATTCTTGCACTCCACCTCTGCATCATATGATCTCAGGAAATAAATTTACTTTAAATGATAGTAAAGGCTCAGAAATGAAGCAGCTTTGGGTTTTCTGATTTTAAACCCTTAACATAAACTACACAACTATCTGGAAGAGACAAAGTAGGATGGGCTTTCAAAAGCTGATTTACAGAAACTGATTTTAGTTCACATCAGATCTGGCACAGTATTTTTTTATTTAAACAATTTTTTAAAATCAAGAACTAGGTAGGAAGAAAAGCTGTATGACAATCAATATGAAAATGTGGCAGCCACAGGAATTATGTTTCACATTGTGAAATACATTTTCTCTTTGGTGTTTATGCATACCTGTAAAAAATAGGAATATAAATATGCCAAAGTAACTATTTACAATTCTTGGGTTGGTCAGTTAACTTGTACTAATTTTAATGGTTCTTTTTATACACCCATAAAAATAATTTAAATTATAATCATATTTACCATGTTAGTGTAATACTATATTTTAGTAATTAATAGGCTTATAAGGAAATCAAGTTATGAACAGCCAATGACATGTACTTATTTAAGTATAATATCTTTTCTTCTTTCAATATATTTCACTCCTTTACTATTCTGACTGATTAATTTCATATTTATGACTAGATTAGCTGTTAGCCAAGTAAATAGAATTTAATAGTCTCACATTGCATTGTGGAAGAAATATTTGTGGGGTTTTTTTTATTTGTCACTGACTGAAAGCTTATGTGCAAGAAATATTTGGACATACGTTTGTAAAGCACAATGGAAGCGATTAAGAGTTAAATACAGTGTGAGATAAGTATTACAGAAATGGCTCTGATCATGTCATTAAGATTTTTTCATAGAACTTACTTTTATAAAGCATGATTGTGTCTTAGCATCTCTAAACTAAATGCATAGCCTCCAAAAATCATTATTACTTTATCCCTGAAATAGGGGGAAAATATTATCTTTAAGTCCTACTGATTTGCATGAGTAATACTGTAACAGCATCACTAAATGTGGACCTTCCTGTAGAAAAAAGCATTTTATTGTCCATGTTCTCTTTTTACTAAAAGTTGAACCAATTGAAATAATGTCGTAGAACCATAGAGTAATGGAAACTTTCCAGGATATTTTCAATATAAAATGCCATTTTCAAATTCCTTGCCCTTAACTGGACTGTCTGAGATTAATTTATTGAAAACATCACTGCTTCTAATTCTAAGCTTAACTTGTTAAAACTTCTAAAAATATATTTTTAAGAATACTATGCCTCTATACTGTTAGAGGCAGTGGGTTGGAGTGGCTACAACATAGGCTTTGGAGTCAGACATAATCAAATCTGAATTCTGACTCTGTCACTTTCTATGTAATCTCTGGCCAATCACTAAGACTCTCTGATTCACAATTTTTTCACCAGTACAGGAAAGAGGGAGGGATATTAACCTATTTATGCCGGAGTTTGCAGTATTTTTTTGTGAAAAATCAGAACTTGGCGATGACCTTGAGCAGCAGGATATAACTCCCGCAAGCTTAGCATTCTGATAATGGAACACTAGGCATAAATGGGTTAATACCAACCATACAAATTGTTCTGAAGATTAACTGAAATAGTAGAAGTAAAGTTACAGATACATAGACTCAATACATGCATGTAATAAAGCACAAAAAGAAATATAAGAACTATGGTATATGCTGTATCACTTCATTTGGGAAGACTGTCAGTGCTTTCTGTGTTTAATCAATAAATATTGCTGTCATTATCCTGTCTTTGATAGTAAAACTTGGGGTACTAACGTTTCAGCCAGAGAAAAGCAGAAGGCATTCCAATAAGTAGGAAACTCCATGGGCTCAAGTGTGATCTTGGCAGGTATTTGGCTCCCAGGAAACCACATTTTTCAGGTTCTCCTAGCTGTGATTATTTCTGTTTTTCTAACTCCATTAGCTAACTCTTCCTCCTATTTCATCACATCTTAAACCATTCCCATCTCATAGTTAAAGTGGCTGTAATAGCAATACAGCACTCATTCTCTGTGTGCTCTCAAAACCCAGTTTCCCAATTGAGGGTCAGATCCAGGATCAAGGTAAAACTGCTCAGCTCTTTTTGGAAGGCCTGCCAATAGCCTTCTGTGCAAATAGACGTGCAATCAAACTTCTTACAAGCAAGACGTTGGGATGAGAATGATGGGACTCAACCAATACCTGACCTCCTTGATAAGTTCATCTCTAGTCAGTCTCTCCCATTATCTAACATTCCTTGCATATGCTGTGTCCTCTATGTTGCCCAAGCTGGTCTTGAACTGCTGGGGTCAAGTGATCCTCCTGCCTCAGTCTCCCAAAATGCTGGGATTACAGGTATGAGCCATCATGCCTGGCCCAGTTTTCTTTTATAACACCTAACCAACTTATAATTTTTCGAATGTCTGCCTACTTTTGTTAATGCAAATTCCATGAGGGTAGCTGCCATGTTTGTCTTGTTTGCCCCCTAGAGTAACACCTGACACATAAGACATGCTCAAGAAATTTTGATTGAATAGATAAACAAGAGAAAGAATGAATATGTAAACTTGAATTAGAAATATAAATCTGTTGTCTGGGCATGGTGGCTCAAACCTATAATCCCATTACTTTGAGAGGCCGAGGCAGGCAGATAACTTGAATCCAGGAGTTAGAGACCAGCCTGGGCAACATGGTTAAACCTCATCTCTACAAAACAAACAAACAAACAGTCAAAAAAATTAACTGGGTATGGTGGCATGTGCCTGTAATCCCACTACTCAGGAGGCTGAGGTGGGAGGATCGCTTGAGCCCAGGAGGCAGAGGTTGCAGTGATCATGTCACTGCACTCCATCCAGGGTGAAAGAACAAGACCCTATCTCAAAAAAAAGAATAGAAATATATATATGGAAATTACCTATATAGAGATGTATTAACTAAAGTTCTTTACAATGCTGAGTGCGTATACACTTTTGTTAAACAGATATTGCAGGTGTTATTAGGCCAGCAATTTTAAATTAATAGTGGCTATTAGATGTGTGTCTCTGTCTAGTGAGCAATGGCCTCCTTTGAAGAATGTGCCCATTTTAGTTGTCAGCCTATTAGAAAAGAAATGTGCTGGGTGCAGTGGCTCATGCTTGTAATGCCAGCACTTTGGGAGTTCAAGGAGGGCAGGTCATGAGGTTAGGAGTTCCAGACCAGCCTAACCAACATGGTGAACCCATCTCTACTAAAAACAGAAATTTGCCGGGCATGGTGACACATGCCTGTAATCCAGCTACTCAGGAGGCTGAGGCAAGAGAATCATTTGAACCCAGGAGGCAGAGGTTGCAGTGAGCTGAGCTCATGCCATTGCACTCCAGCCTGGGGTACAGAGCAAGATTCCGTCTCAAAAAAAGAAAAGAAAAGTAAAAAAAAAATGTGTCTCTTAACTGAGAAACCTCAAATGAGGGATGGAGATTTCTTTATGTGGAATGAGCAAGATATCCCTTACTATCTGTCTACCTGTATCACTGGAGGCTGAACAACCTCTATTTAACCTATAAAACAGCTATGGGACTATTAGAAGAGGCTGAATTAAGGCTTTTTTTCTCTCACAGGTTTTTGTGTCACTGGTTTGTCTTATTTCTTCTTCCTTCTCCTCCTCATCTTCCTTTTCTCCCTCCTCCTTCTCTTTTTCCTCCTCCTTCTCCTTCTTCTTCTTCTTCTTGATCTTACCATGTTGTTCAGGCTGGTCTCAAGCTCTTGATCTCAAGAAATCCTCCCATCTTGGCCTCCCAAAGGGTTGAGATTACAAATGTGAGTGATTCTGCCCGACCAGTTGTAGTTCTTTTTTTTTTAAGGAAAGAAATTTTCATCCACAGTTGGATCAAAAATCTAACGTTAGAGCAGTATACCCTGGGGTCTATTATGAAGAACAGTGGTAGGGCCGGGCGCGGTGGCTCACGCCGGTAATCCCAGCACTTTGGAAGGCCGAGGTGGGTGGATCACGAGGTCAAGAGATCGAGACAATCCTGGTCAACATGGTGAAACCCTGTCTCTACTAAAAATACAAAAAATTAGCTGGGCATGGTGGCACGTGCCTGTAATCCCAGCCACTCAGGAGGCTGAGGCAGGAGAATTGCCTGAACCCAGGAGGCGGAGGTTGCGGTGAGCCGAGATCGCGCCATTGCACTCCAGCCTGGGTAACAAGAGCGAGACTCCGTCTCAAAAAACAAACAAACAAACAAAGAGATCAAGACCATCCTGATCAAC